CCCCCCCCGGTCGCTGGAAACCACTCATCTACTTTCTGTCTCCATGGATTTGCCTACTCGGGACATTTCATATAGATGGAATCCTACCACATGTGGTGTTTTGTGACCAGCTTCTTTCACTTAGCATTATGTTTTCAGTGTTCATCCATGTTGCAGCATGAAGCAGCACCTCATTCCTTTTTATGACCAAATAATATTCCAGTGTATGTATACACCGCATTTTGTTTCTCCATTTCAGGTGATGGACAGTTAGGTTGTTTGTATTTTGGGACTGTTAGGAATAACAGCTCCTGTGATCATTCGTGTACAATCTTTATAGGAACATGTCTTTTCACTTCTCTTGGTGGTATGCCTAGGAGTAGAACTAGAGTAGAACTGAAGTAGAAATAGAACTGTGGGTCATATGCTTAGCTATGTTTAACATTTTGAGGAACCCCCGACTGCTTTCCAGAGCACCTGCACCACATTCCTACCAACGATGTGCAAGAGGACCGATGGCTCCGCATCCTTGCCAATGCTGTCTTTTTGATTATAGCCACCCTACTGGGAGTGAAGTGATAGCTCATTGTAATTTTGATAACTGGTGTCATTTTTCGGGACTTTCTTGTGGGTGGACCTTGATGATGACTTGGAACCGTTTTACACATCCAGGGAACTCATCCCCTTGTCATTTTTAAAAAAGATTTTATTTATTTATTAGAGAGAGAGAGAGCACAAGCTGGGTGAGTGCAGAGAGAGAAGCAGACTCCCCGCAGAGCAGGGAGCCCCTGTGGGACTCGATCCCAGGACTCTGAGATCATGACCCTAGCCGAAGGCAGACACTCAACTGACTGAGCCACTCAGGCGCCCCTCCCCTGCTTGTCATTTTGAGAGCTTCACCTTCTACCCCAAGCCCAGGGGGAGCTTACTACCGAGTCCTTCCTGCCTCCTGCCGTGCTGGGGCTTCCAATCCGATGCAGGTTTTGATTGGCCTCCCAGGTACCCATGCAGCCATTTGGTGAGAGCCATTGTGTCCCCCCACTTCCACTTGCTGCTCTGAAGTGTCCGTGGACCCCAAGAGTCCCCATGCTTTAGGTGCTATCAAGTATCGCACCTTGGTAGGGAGTAAAAGAGCTGGCTGAGGAGGGGGCTTGAGGGAGAGATGCTCATCGTGACCGGCTGGGTCTTGCTCTGAACCTGCTTCTTCCTCTTCCTTCCATTTACCACAAGCCTTGGGGGGAGACTGGCAGAGGTCTGTGTGTCCTGGTTGTCTGTCAGCCCCTCCTGGGCTCCGTCTTTCAAGAAACATCCTCTCCTGGGCCCTGCCTGGCACAGGGCTCTGTTGCCCTCAGCTTGAGCTGAGACAGTGCCTGAGACTGCAGGGTCCTGGGATCGAGCCCCGCATCGGGCTCCCTGCTCGGCGGGGAGCCTGCTTCTCCCTCTCCCACTCCCCCTGCTTGTGTTCCCTCTCTCGCTGTGTGTGTCTCTCTCTCTCTGTCAAATAAATAAATAAAATCTTTTAAAAAAATAAATAAAAAAATAAAAATCCATCTCCTCAGAAATGGAACTGAAACAGCTAGTAATCACACACAGGTACCTGGGATTCTCTAATGCAGGTTGTGGCTGAGGGCTTACAGCAGGGCCCTTGTCCCATTTGGGCTGCCTCCTCTGCTGTTTGAACCCTGAAATAAAGTATGGCTCAGTTGCTGGCAGACAGGGGCACTGAGCAGGAAGATGAGGCCTGAGTTTGACAGTTCAGTCAGTAAACACTGCCAGAGCACCTACTGTGTGCTGGGTGCTGTGCAGAGGCCTGCTGCCAAGCAAACTGTGAGTGCCAGCCGAGGGTAAATGGTGTGGAAGAGAGAGGTCCCGGGGCCTGTGGGGGCCCAGAGGAAGGGCACCCAACCCAGAATGGGGAGGGTGTGGGTGCCCAGCACAGGCTTTCTGTGAGAGGTGATGGTTGAGCCAGGGCTTGAGGGACAAATAACGCTCAGCTAGACTGAGAAAGGAGAAACCCTTATATGCTGAGGTATGACTGAGCTGAAGTCTTGCAAAACTCCCACAGATCCGCGTGGCTGACCAGGTGTGTTTGCAGCATGGTAGAAGGCCAGATTCCTGGCCCAAATGACTCCTGGCCGAAAACCCAGACTGGGCTCAGGCCCAAGTTTCAGGGCCTGAAGTCCAAGGCCAGCCACAGGGCCAGGAGCCAGCTCTTGCAATAGGGCAAAGACGAGAGTTGCTTGCCTGACCCAGAGCAGAACTTTCCGGCTCAGAGACACAAGCAAATGTACCACATCCACTGCAGTGTCTTGGGCTGGTCTCTCTGCCCCAACGCTTGCTGAGTGCCATGCCTCAGAGCAGACCCAAACTGGTGCCTGGGGGTTCAGTGCACAAGCCTAGAGGGCCTGGGGATTTCAAGGGCCAGGAGCCAGCCTGGTCATTGCGGCACAATGTTCTTCCAGAACTCTCTGCCCCACTGTGGTCTCTGGGGGCAAAAGCAGCTCTGAACTCCTGAGCACTCACTGCGTGCTGGACATGGGCATAATGATGAGTCTGCACATCCAACGACCTGTGCTGGTCTTACCTACCGTGTCTTAGATATAAGGAGACACAAGCCCAATCCCATCCAGCCAGTAGACTCAGAGTCAGGGTTCTGACCACAGAGCCCATATTCTTTCACCTATGTCTGGTGGCCTCGACAGGCAGGTCAATTGTGTTTGTGTTTGGTGTTAGGAAAGCAGGGAGAAGGTGAAGTGGATACTAGTCTCCTCAGGCTTGTGGCTAGACTTAGATCTTTTGCTGACCCCGAAGCACCAACCATGGGTTAGCAGAAGAGCCTCACCCCACCCCCATGCCTGTTTATCCCCTCAGCTGACTTTTCTTCTGGGCCAAGCACAGGCTTTTGTTCCCTGGGCTGCCCATGATATGGCACCAAGAATGACACGGTCTTCTCTCAGGGTTCTCATGGCTCGTACCAATCCAAATTCAGTCATCTCTCATCTTCAATTCTCCCTGCTACCCCCTCTGCACATCCCCAACTGCCCAGCCCCATGAGGAGATAGACCTCATAGGATTTTCTTCTCTGATGCTTATGGTTCCTGATGCTTGTGGTTTATCCCTCTCATGGACTTCCTCTTGCTCACTGGGGCCAGAAGAGAATCAGTCCATTTCCCAGGCATGGCCACACTTCTCCAAAAAGGTGTCCATACTCAATTAATACATTTGTTTCTGATCATTTGTTTTTCTCCCCCTTAGCTCTTCCTCTGTTTAAACTAAAGTCCAGTGGCTTTTAAACATTTTTGGCTGCAACCCCCATAGAAACAAATAGGTTTTACACTGGAAACCAAACACATACACACACAAGTGAAACAAAAATTTAACGAAACAATACTTATCTTTACTATATGTGATATACTCTATTCTATTCTGTTTCATTTAAAAATGCTATCAAGACCTATTAAATTGATTTCATGCCCCATTAATGGGTTGTGACCTACAGTTTGAAGAACATTGAGCCCAGATATTTTGACATTCAGAGCCTCCAGTTAGGGATATTACAGCACAAATTTGTCAAGAAAGAAAAGTCAACTCTAAGATTTTGAAATACATGTTACAGACAGAAGTTCAAAAAGAAAACAGTTTTGAATCTCAAAAGCCTAGATTTCTGGGGCACCTGGGTGGCTCAGTCAGTGAAGCGTCTGCCTTCAGCTCAGGTCATGATCCTGGGGTCCTGGGATCAAGTCCTACATCGGGCTC